CTGAAAACTTATTCGGTTACTGAATTAATTAAACCGAATAACTTATCGACTAATAGTCGAACATAGAACATAACTGACTGATTAACCTGAACTTGAACATGAACATGATTGTTTATTAATAAAGGCTAGCTTAAAACTAAAAGCTAGTATTTTTCTTTATTAATAAAATACGGGGCGTTACAATATTATTTGATTATTCTAGTCTTTTATTTGGTAGGGAAGTTAATGGTAAGCAAAGATTTATTAGGGGTCCTAATTTTATGGTAAGGTAGTTTTTTAGGGGTCCTATTTAAAACCACTATTCTTTTGTTCGGAGATAGTTTATATTGATTGAGTAAAAATACGTTGGGAGTTTTTTTTCTTGATTCTCCCAATCGTTTGAACCTTTCGCTACGTCAAGTTTATGAGCTTAGAGGTTTGCCCCAAATAACTTTTGTAACATCAGTTCCCACACATACAAATAATATTTCAGGAAATCGGTCTAGTAAAGCATTTATGAGCCTAGAGGTTTGCACAAATAATTTTTGTAGGATCAGTGTATTAGATAGTATTATGCTCAATAGTAATTAGTATAAAAGTCAAAAGGGAACTGAGGGTAAGCTCCTCTTCTATTCAAAATACATTACCTAAATTTCATAAAAGTCAATTTTCCAACTTTCTTTGTATTTTTTATTTGCTCCCACCTCATTGTAAACAACTCTTACCTGTCCTTGGGTCAATAATAGCCGGTAAATTCATGGGACTTGTCCATTTTGTGCCCCAAAAATGCAGAAATCATAAGATGAAGCAGTGAGATATAATCAAAACTACAACCCATATTTCTAGGATACGTACACATTCTTGTTCAAACTTCGCCTCAAAGCATAAGTTTTTCTTTTTTTCTTTTAAACACCCACCATTTAAACAAGAACAACAATTCCATTAGGATAACAAGTCTATGTCGGTCATATCTTTATGGGATATAGGGTCTCTATGACCCATCTCGACAACCGATGATGGCTCGCCCGCATTACTAAATCCACGTGGAGAGTTTTCGGGTGAATCTCTCGGGCTTCCTCCTAGCTTCCTTGCGCGTGGTTTGGGGCTATCCGTCTTTTTCTTCACCTTGTTGTGCCAGTTCATCAGTGCCTTTGAGGTTTGCTCGTCAAAAATGGACTTCTTCATGTGTGATCCCATCTAAACATTTTTTTTTTTTCACATCAAAGCCATAAGATCAAAGGTTTTTGAAATTGGCTATTATTAGGGGATGACTCGTGTGGAAGAAAAAGTTACCTGTGTTACGAGTGCATAAAGTGGGAGTGTAATATAGCTGCACAAGACTTGGACTCCTATCCTGCGACCAATCAAACATTTAACTCAATCTATCAACTTTCGTTCACTTTAGCTTTCACAGCAGACTGCAATAGAAACGATAAAGCAAAAATACGAAATTATGTGTAGTTATTTACACTAAGGCTTACCCAATACATACTCTAATTACGGCAAGGTTGAAGTATCGGTGGAAGCAAGAATGCAATCCAAATTCATACTGGAAGCAAAAAATAAGTTGCTTCACTCATTTGTGGAACTATAAATACAAATAGTACTAAAGTTCGATTAATGAAAGTAAAATACGAGCTAGAGAACAATGGCTTCTTACCGTTATCCAGATGAAGTACGTAATCTCAAACGCGTTCTGCAATATATACATATCCATTACAAAATCAAGAAATATAGTTCAATGTTTGAAAACATAAAACCATTTTCGATTACAATGACGACAAATGGAATGAATTGGGGAGTTAGAAAACGAGACCAGAAAGAGGGTGAGGTGGATTAGATGGAGGACCAAAGTAGGCTTGCTAAACCAAAAATGGCGATCAGAGACTTGGACGAGCGGGATTCCTTGGATCACGGCATGCTTTTCTTGGATCTCGATCGCCATCTGAGTTATGATCGACTGCAGTTTTGTGCCCACTGCTAAGATTACCTTAACCAATCAACCAGTCAGCCTTCTTTTTTTTTTGTAAAAAAATAAGAACAACAAAACTAGTTAAAATGTCATTGAAAAAAATTATCATATAAATGATGAAGAAAATCAAGCTTTACCACGAGAGGTAATATTGATAGAAAAAACATGATTTCGCCTCCTGCAAAGCCAATCGAAATTATATAAACACAAACACACCGTATAAGAAAAAATATTTTAAAGTATGGATGTAACCAGATTTTTTTAACAATAGAAAGAAAAATGCACCTTTAACATTCACCAGAAGATAGATCAACGATGTCATCCAGAGATGGGGACTGAAAGCAACATCACCAAAAAAAGTTGCATCAAAATTTATTTTAAGTAATGTATCACGGGAGACGACGACGACAACAACAACAACAACAACAACAACAACAACAATAATAATAATAATAATAATAATAATGGAAAAAAAGAAAGAAATGATAACGTACGGGATTCCCACAACCACTTTGAAGTCGTCTTCCAACGATCTTTTGATATACTTTTGAAAGTCGAATTTCATTCCAGAAGACAAATGGACCTATATATAGTATGGTAGATGCTTCTTAAGGCAAATGATAATATTTGTATAATTTATACAATCACTAATGTAATGAAACTACTTAAAAACTCACCGAGACAAAGCCATGTCGTAGTGTAAGGTAGTCGGGCTTTTGAACCGAGTACAACATGTGTCGAAAAAAGCAAACCTAGAAGAAGTATACATTCAATTTATTTTAAAAAAAACAACATCAAGAAGATGAAAACTGAAAATGATGCCTGCAAAATACTATCATGACATTGATGAAAAAAAAAAGATTACAAAAACCTCAGTTGTTATTCCTTACAACATAAAACAATATAGGATTTTGCATCCATGCATTCGTGTGGCTTTTTACAAAAGATGTCTCGTGTGTCAATCTGAATCTTGAAGGATCTGTTCAAGACAGCAAAAACAAAAGTTACGATAAACGGACACAAAAAATATTGTTTTGTCTTGATATTTTAGAACTAAATCATAATTAAGGGCAGTGATCATTATTATCTTCTATAAAGAAAAAAAAATTGTAATCATTTTTGGGGCCAAAATACCATTAGATACTTCATTTTCTTGTATAGCTTGTCTCTCCCAATACTTCCATCCTCGAATCTGAACGATGATAATAAAAATAATTCTCAGTTGGAAGTTGATTAAGCTATTCTAGTCGACTCATAAGTCAGTACCTTTAACCTCCCTAACATCATTGTTACAGCGCCGTAAAATACGTGAAATACAGCCAAGAAGAATATGAAAATGTGGAGCTGGTGAAGTCCGTGACTCGATATAAGTGGCACATACCCCTGTCCATCAAATCAAATCGTGTTACTTCCATACATATATGTTGATTCAGATAAAATTAAAAAAACAACTAGAAAGAACATTCTCGACTTTCTAGCTTTCGTTTGACAACGACACTACCTACTTTCGGCGATCACTTAATAGATGAACAATGTTTGCACAAAAGACACTAATTTTGGAAACAAAAACATTTTTACTTACTTTTGGGCAATCTTTAGGCGTGCTATCAGCTGCCAAGATTCGGCGTTGGTGCCACGTCATGAGCCTGCGGTGATGATGATCGACGTCCACCTCATCATCATGATATTCTTTAAATTCGCATGGCAACATTGTGTCTGAGAGTTTATCCGGTATGCATATTTGAGTGATGTAGTTTTGCCCGAATGTCAGAAGCAACGAAATGAATCCAAGAATCATAAGTTCTGAAATGGATTAGCCACACACAAAAAAAAAAAGTAAAATGTTTAGCATTATGATAATAACAACTTAGAAAACTTTACAACTCTGCTCTTACCGGCTTTAATTTTTTCGAGAGCATCCACCAATGCCAGCTTCTTTCTCTTAACAAACGTCTACAAATAATTTATTAAACATTTTGTTGTAATAATTCATATCGAAAAAAAATAAAAATTGAATGTTTATTTGAGAAATACCTCTCCAACTTTATGAAGAGTTTTTTCTAATATGATCGATATTACAATGATGACCCCACATACTAACGACACAGCCCATGTCGGGGTATGGTCAAGCTCCCTCCCCGTTTCTCCTTCTCCACCAGCCATATTTTTCGGTCGATAATGAGTTATAATAACAGAGTAATATATGGAAAAACAAAATCAAATGGAAGTTATTGTCATTCTTTCTTGATTTGAAAAATAAGAATGATTGATGTACAGACATCTATCATATTATGACAGGCTCCTAGAATAGATATATGAAAAAAGATTCAAAACTAAGAGAAGAGAAAGCTCAGTACAAAGAGAGTTGTTCTTTTCTATAACATAATTGGACCGGGTTCAGTATGTTTGGCCATTAAGTTGGGAGTTATACTGAGGGACAAATTTGTTGACAAAGAGTGTTGTTAGGGATTTTGTTGGTCAGTGAGGGGAAATGCAGCGACATCACATATATCCAACAAATATTTAAAGATGACCCTATCTTTAGGCACCAACTTCTTCCATTCATTTTTAACTATAAAAGCTTAATTTATTTGACATATCCTAGTTATGTTGGCCTCATAATTTTGTATATTTTTTTATTCACACAAACATTAATTTTTTTATTTTTCTTATTCTCAAAATATCTAGTACAAATCAAATTTCCAGATTTATGTATCATCAAGAAGAGGTAAACTGAAAAATAACTCTCTCCAAAAATTGTTAGCAAAAAAATAGATGTAGTAAGCAATGTTTTAGTTTTGACTTAGTATTTTAGTCATTTTGGGGGTTTGTAACAAACCTTTTTATTTAAAGGCAATAATAAATTTAAGAAATTAGTATCCAACTATCATGGTCAATAATCATTTTACAATCCTTCTTGGAAATAAGCAATCATTTTTCTTAAGAGAAGAACCCCAGAAGGGTAGGGGTTAAGGCTAGACCCCCAACCTGTATATAGTCAGACCAAAAAAGAGCTAAAAATCAAAAGTCAACATGCCCAAATAAAAAACAAAAATAACAACAGCGATAAACAGGAAAAAATAAAAAGAAAATATATGGGTCTGGGTTGTGAGGAACCCAGGCGAAAAGTCTACACCACGAGTGGGTTGAAACACACAAAATACAAAACGATTACCCAAATTTGAACGAATGATAACCCAACTGATCCATTTGCACAATAGTACAGAGTTGGGGAGGAGCATCGTCTAGATAAAAAATGCGCCTATGAGACAAGGAGGCCCTGATGCAAGCAAGGAAATAAGCAGATCGGTTGGCCTCGCGAAAGATGTGCGAGATCTGGTAGCAAACTAACTAAGGTGTGGATCGGATGCGCGTGAGTAGGTCCTGAATCTGCCATGAGCCATGGTCGCCTAAGGTTAAGAAGGTGATGAGTACGACAACATTCAACTCTATCCAAATGTGAGAGAAGATAAAGGTTGCGATCTAAAGACCAATCTGAAGCGCCTGAACCTCCGCATCATAATTCGAGGAGGCCTAAAAAGCAGCGTGAAAGGTGATAATAAGAGCTTCATTGTGATCCCTAAGCAGGCGCCCTCCTCCGGCAGCTCCGGTTAGTAGAAAAAAGCTTTATCGGTGTTTAGTTTAACCCAAGAGGACTGGGGTCTCAGCCAAACAACAGTTCTAGGGTGTGGGTGCTAGACAGACGGCAGTAGAGATGGAACGAGGCGGTGGGGCAGCGTCAGCCTGTTCAGTCTCTAGGTGTAAGTCTACCCAGAGTTGTTAGGATATATATAGGTCGACCAGCAAAACAATGTGAGAGCACATAAAAGTAATATCCCTATGCTTTGCACTATTCATTTCTATCCAGATGGACCACAGGATTTGACAAGGAATGAGGAAGCCCATATGTCTAAAGTGTATGCTCTGAGAGAAAAAACTCAGTAGCTTAAAGAAACTGTCTGAAGTGGGAAGGGATATATGAATATAAGGGGCGAAATGCTCCCACACTCTCCTCGCAACCTCGCTCTCCAAAAACAAATGAGAAAAAAATGTCTTAGTCTGGAAATGTCCGGTCTCGAGACAAGAGTAACACCACGAAGGGAAGAAAAACCTCCTCGCCTACATCACAACGTCAATCAGAATTTGGCGCAGAAGAAGACACCAAAGAAAAACAGAGATGGTTCCGATCCTCCACTCGAATTCTCAAACTCCGACCATCATCTTCGCGGAAGAGCCAAGTACATATACAGTCGTTGGAGATGGTTCTATTGCCCAACTACCCAGGTCGGTGCTTAATTGTCATGTTTTCTTCGGCTCTTTGCCGCTGGCGCTCTAGCCGGAGTCATCCTCCACTTCACCGGCCATTTTGAATATGGTCAACCACATTTCATCGAGTGGCAGCATGACTCTACTTGACCCTAACCCTCAACTCGAACCTAACATGGAGCCCCCTTAACCACAGGTTTCTAGGCACTGGTATCCTTCTTCGGGCCTACCTTCAAGTTCTTTTGGGCCGGCCCAAGTAAGTTCCCCTTTCCTTTCCATTTTAAACCCAGACCACCCCATTCTCGCTACACATTCCTAGCCCAAATCCCCAACCCAGCCCATACACTCAACCCAACCAAACACACTCCCAACCCCTTACCCCTCAACCCCGTGGGGCCACAGTTCTTTAGCCCAACTCCCAAATCTCCTTTTTAACCCTCAGCCCACCCAATCAACATTTCTCCCAGCCCAACACACACACACATAACCCAAAATCCCCAGCCCATTATATCCCAACCCAAACAGTTTTCAAACCAAACACCTCCTCAGTCAACCTCTCTACTCAACCCTTCTCCCATCACCCACTTCTATGAGGCTTCGCTTTCTTCGGCCACCACCAAATGAGTGGGTCCTCCACCACCGGCCAGCGACTCCATCACAGTAGTGATCACTGGCCCCAGCGCTGTCATCAGCGCCGGCATCGGTCATCCCCCTCCCTCTGGCGAGACTATTTCGGCTGGGATTCTTGGCTCGGGCCACTTTTTTCATCCGAGCCTCACCTTTGTAACGCCCCACTTTGATTTTAAAGAAATTCCAACTTTCAGAAAAATTAATATAACATTTCGAAACTCATTTCAAATCATTTGCGGTGTTACTCATTTTTAAAAACAATATCAACTGTAATAACCCAACTTTTTGTTAATAAAAATGATGTATTATCTTTTATTAATTTCATTCATTTTCAGCGAATACGTTCGACGTTAAGTCGAAAAGTCAATTTGGTTAATTATTAACCGAGTTAAAATCGATAATTAATTTTCGAACCGTTTATTTTATAAACGGACATCGTTAATCGGGATTAATTATTAATAGTTAAGAATGTTCGGAATTTAATTTAAAGTCGAAACCAAGGTTAAGTTGTAAATGCACACAAGGTGCATCAAGTATGCATGCGTACACGCACTCGTGCACGCATGCCGTGTGTGCAGCCCCGCACGTGAACGCGCGCTGCGCGCATTGCCGCGCATAGCACATGTAGCACGCGCCATTAGGCGCTAAGCACACGCTTATAATCTTTTAAGCACTACGATCAAATTCAAGTAATCCCATCATTAAGCTTTCAAGTTTCCGTGAAAATTTTACCAAGGATAAATGTTGGGGTGCAAGTGGCTAGGATGACTCACGTACTTGTCTGGACACATGGCCCAAGCGTAGCTTACGTGTGATGATAAGGCACGTGCATGTGTGCCACCTCGGTGATGACTAAGCCGAGCATAGAAACCTCATCGTTCACGGCCGAGACATGTGGCATCAAAGGAGAAATCCTCATCTTTCACCTCCTTTGACTTAAGATTAATCTCTCTATTTTTACCCTCTTTTAAATAGCAAAGGCCGTGCATTTTTCATGCACTTTTCATGCAAAAAGCCGAAACCAACTTCAGCATATTTGAGGGAGAAAATAGTGAGGAAATATTAGTGGAAAATTATAGAAAAATGGCTAGGGAAAGAGGAAGCAAAGGAGAAGCAAGAACGTACGCAACTGAGCACCAAACACGCACGCACATCATCGTACACTCTTCGACCAAACTGAAGGGTATACATTCCTTTACCCTCTTTTTATGTAGTTAAGTTCATATCAGCGAGGACATGTCAAAATCATGTCGATCAATTTATGTTTTGTATGAAAATGGCCTCGGAGATGCTAGATAAGCTCCCTCCGAGTGATTTCAAAATAGAACCGGCAAGTCCCAAGTAATCTATGTATTTTCTGTCATTTTAAGTCAAAACATAATCAGTCATGTATGGATTGCCGGAAAAAGTAGCCGGACGGCCGGTGAAACACCGACCGTGATACCTACCGCACACGGTGTGCGCGCAGGCGCGCCCGGCAGGCCCAGCGAGTACACAGGGAGCGTCCGTGCGCCCAGTAACGCACACGCGTGCCCAGTACTAACAGTCCAGCTGTTACGGGCCTAACTTTGGGGCCCGGGACATGGCACGATCCCTTAGAGTGTCATGGTCCGATAGACCCGAGCACAAAGGTGCGAGGGTTCAACTAAGGGAAGGATGCGAGCTGGGCACGTTCTTGTGGCTGAAAGTTGGGTTCAGTCGGGTCTTCGTGGGGCGACGAAGACATATGTGCAATACTTAGCTGAAATTGTCCAAGTGTTGGTCGGATCATGTTTGTTGGTTAAGTCGAGGGCTCGGTCGGACGAGGGTTGCCGCGGGTTTTGCATGGCCTTGCGGTTATGTTGGTTTAACTCGGACGAGGGTGTTGGCTAATCGATCAAATGCATGGTTGGACTTAGGCGTATTCGGGCACGCGAGTGCTTCGATGATGCAGCTCGATGGGCGCGTGCGAGGGTGGCGCCGCGTCTAAGCCGTTGGCGGGAACGGTTGGATTTTGAATTGGCAGTTGGGTTGCATGTGGACTAGTCGGTTACTATGTCCCACGTGGCCTAAGCGGATCATTCATTCGAGTAGTTGCATGGCCGAGTGGGAACAAGGAAACCAAGACACTTGGATGGGCGGTTTCCAGGGACACGTGGCCTTGACGGTTTTCTAACCTGCGAGGGAGTTGGACAAGGATAAAGCACGACAGTTGGCACCCGTTGTTGCATGAAGCTGAGTTGGCGTTCGATGGATGCGTGCACGTGCCAAGGGGCGGTTGCGGATAA